TCTCTCAGACATAACTCTCCTGAGTTATCTCAGACTTATCTTGGAAAGAAATATTATGAAAACAATTCCTGAGAAGAAATTTTTGCCATCCTGTGGTAACCAAGTTGTTTAACTATTATCTGTAGAGAAGTCAGTAGCTGCAGCTGGTAGTTAGAGGTGACTTTGGCTATAATCTTTCTCAATGTTATACACTGTTGAAATATTTAAATGTCTTTGTATTATTTGTTATACTCTTAATAAAATTATGTAATAATGCTGATGTTTATTTAAACTTAGGAGACTAAGAGATTTTGTATAGAGATGAGTAAAAGCTTATGGAAAAGAGATTTCTTTGGTTATTTAATATTGTAAAAGCTTGTATGTTTCTATTAATTTTTGAGGCAATATCAACATATATCCCTTTATTGCTTTAGAACATAATGAGAACTAATTAAGTAGCAGAGTGAGGGACGGGGGTTTGGTGTGGTTGACTAGCGCATGCATGAACATCTACATGGACTACACATTGGGTAGTTGTCCCCAGAACCTGCCATACTATCATTTCCAATCAGTAGATTGGAATGGCTCCACTCCAATCCCTGTTACTCCCCAGACCAAAAGTCCCTTTCTTGGCCACTACTCCTTGATATGTTATATCCCCTAGCAGAATGTAAACTCCTTGAAGGCAGGGGCAATCTCACTTTTATATTTGTATACATAACACCTGGCACTTAGCAAATTCTTGTTGATTGTTCTTAAATTCAATTGGATTTGTCTTAAAAAGTTGATTTGGGAGCACCTTTTATCATATTTGTCTCAAGTGGCAGAATTGCCATTTACAGCTCTGAGACTTAGGAAGCTATTTGTTCAGTTGAAAATAACACTATAGAAATCTATAGTCTTTCCAGCCATAGTGGTAGTGTGGGCCAGTGGAAAAGGTATGGTACTTGAATCAGGAAGACCTGGGTTTAAATCCTGCCTTGAATGTTTACTAGTTGTGTGACCACTTTCATTTGCCACCAGCTGCTCTGTTTGATTTCAACTCTGTCATCATCTTCATCATGCCCTGCCCAGGATAAACTCATTATTTGCTACTCATACCTCATCAGTACTTTCAACTGCTTCTACTTCTTTGATTCGAGGACTAGAGGGCAAAGCAAAAAACTCCTCCAATAGCCTCCCTTTATAGAGGGCTCAAAATGGTAGCCATTTCTTCATTTGCCACTAGTACTTTGCTTGGTTTCATCTCCATCTCCATCATCATAATCATCATCATCATCATCATCATCATCATCATCATCATCATCATCAT